CACAAAGAACTGACCTATGAAGATGCACGGTAGGTTCTGTCAGGACGTAGGCCTAGGAACCTCAACAAGCTCTAAGGCCAAGGCCCTGGGGCCCTCCTCTAAAAAGGACATACTGCCTCCTGCTGGAAGGGCAGCCCCAGACTCACTGCCTGCCCACGTCTTTGTGATCATTTAAGGGATCATGAGTAAAGGCCCGCTGCCCACCAGCCATGACCCACAGCCTATCCTAGCCCCTCCAGCCAGCATCCTCACATAATATCTCACCAGTGCCAGGAGGGGTCGCCTGCCCCAGTAGTGCCTCTGAGCCCTGGGTGGTAACAACAGCTGCTGTACTCCCCGATGTGGTACCCCCTGCCCCATCTCCCACTGCAGTGCTGGGGAAGTAAGTATAGTGCGTCTCAGCAGCTGTCCCCTCTGTGTCAACTGCATCATCACTCGTGAACGCACCCTGGATCACAGCCTGGGAAGGGGAGCAAGAGAACAGAGACAAGTGACAGTTAAATACTTCCCATGAGCTACTCTGCAGCTTCTATCCCTTGGGAGGAGGGAGGGAGAAACATCCAGAAAGGGAGAGTCTAGTGCTTTGGGTCAAGGCAGCCCTAGATGCTTCCCTATCCCTAGCCACACCTATCCTATTGGTTCCCTTCTTCACGTTACTACTCAGAGCTCTAGTCCCCTCTGCAGCCCATACCCCTGTACCTGGGTCATGGATTGAGTGGCAGGGTAGCCACTGATGGCGCCAGTCCCCTCAGTCTGGCCATCCAGCTGCCCCTCAGACACCTGGATCACCCTGTACATCACCTAGAGGCAGGGAGGAAAGGGGAAGGAGGGGAAGAGGGAACAAGAGAGTAAGTGCTAGGGATTCCAGGGTCCCTCATAAAGCTTCCCTTGGTTAGGGCCCCCAAACAAGAATCCTTCAGAGACCCCCATCCCCTTCCCCCCAAACAGTCCACATCTTCACCTCATCCTCCAAACCAGGTTCTACCCATGACAGGTTCAATTACCTCCCTCAATCCCAACCCCAGGTAACACCTGCAGCCACCTGGCCCCCTCCCTTACCTGGCCCCCATTTTCAGTTCGGAAGACGTACTTGACGTTGGGGTCAGGGAAAGTGGCAGCTGACTGGATGCTGGCGATAGCCACACTGGTTGGGTCCTCCCCAGTTGCCACTGCGCCTGAATTAGGAAAAGGACAAGTCTGTGAGTTACTGCTTTTCTCCCTCTGTTGCACCTGCATGTCATTTAAAAGAAGTAGCTTGCACAGGTGATAGGCCCATGGGGTAGGGGGAGAGGCCATGATGGGCTCTTGGTGTCAGCTCAGTTCCGTTTCTCCCACTCACCTTCCTGAATCTGCACTGTCCCCTCTTCCGTTTCAGCTGTTTTCTGCTGCCTGTTTGTGAAGGGACAAGAGGAAGAATAAGGGAAGAAGTGAATTAAAAGCTCACTGGCCCAGTAACATATGGCTCCCAAACTCATTGGCATTCCCAACAGGTGCTAGGTTAGGTTAGAATAACAAGAGCTAGTATTTACTTAGCACTGAGCTAAGCACTTAACAGGCAATATCTTACTTAATACTAAGAACAGCACTATGAGTAGGTAGCACTACTTGCATTTTATAAACTGGAAACCAGATCACATAGCAGGGTGATGTAGCTGGGACCTAAATCTAGGTCTGCCTGACTCCAGAGTCAGTGCGCTTAGCCATTTTGCATTCTCCCAGGCCTCCCATCTCCCATCCCAGACCCTACCTCTTCTTCACTCACCCCTTCATCTCTCTGTGAGGGGGCACATCCGAGGAATTGGTCCTTCTTTGGAAGTCTTCGTATCTCCTGCCTCACAGGCCTGAGTGCTAAGTCCTGGTAGGAATCAGGGAGTCTAGTGAGTCTAGGAAACTGAAAGCGCCCCTGTTTCTAGAACCTAGGCTCCCTGAAGACACATCCAGGAACATAAACCAGTCATCTGCAGGCGACAATCGGCTTTCTCTATTCTGATACTGAGGGCTGGCTACAGTGATTGAAAAAGCAACTCTACAAATAGTGCTCCGTGTCTCTCCAATTATCACTCCATCTCCTGATGGAGAGGGAATAATTATACTGCAAGACTGAGAAACAACATATTTCTGGATGGATTATTATTAAAGCTATTACAATCTGCCATGACATGGGGATTAGGAAGGGCCATGTTTAGACCACAGCTATCAAAAAACACAGGGCCGGGCTTCCCTGGTGGCGCAGTGGTTGAGAGTCCGCCTGCCGATGCAGGGGACACGGGTTCGTGCCCCGGTCCGGGAGGATCCCACACGCCGCGGAGTGGCTGGGCCCATGAGCCATGGCCGCTGGGCCTGCGCGTCCGGAGCCTGTGCTCCGCAACGGGAGAGGCCACAACAGTGAGAGGCCCGTGTACCGCCAGAAAAGAAAAAACAAAACAAAACACAGGGCCATGGATGCTGACGCTTCTTCCAGCCTCTCAGGCACATACTGTACACCGAGAAATTCCCGTCCTCAAATCTAGGAAAGGGAAACCTGAAACCCATTGGAAAAACCTCCGGAACCATAAAGACCAGACTTGGCCCTCGGGCCCCTTTCTACTGACAGGGCTCTTGTTTTGGGGAGTCCAGCTTTATGTCATTCATTAAAGACCCTAAAGCCCAAGTGTATCATCTTCAAGCTGCTACAATTTTATTCACCAAGCCTTCCTGTAGAGCAACACCGTTGCTAAAATGTTGCCATGACAACTCCAAATCAACTGAGCCTCAGCAAAAAGGGGCGAAACTCCAGGTTCGGGGTTCGGAAAGAGAAGAGACAATGGGGGAGGAATCCATCTACGAGGTGCCTGCCTTAAGACCGTTGACACCCGTTGGGGGGGGCGGCGCGGACTGGGGAGGCGGGCAGGAAAAACAAAGGGCCAAGCAGACAGATGCCTCCAGGAAAAAAACAGCTACATTGTACAAAGCAATAAAATAATCCCGACAGGAAAGGGGTAACACTTTTGTAAGTTCTCTACCCATAAGGTCCCCCAGACCTTTATCTTCAGCGAATTAGCCATGGAAAGCTTGTATCCAGTGTTAACCAAAAAAAAAAAAAAAAAGGAACTGAAAGTGAAACTGTCCGGAGGAAGTAGCGCTGCAAGAAGATCCCAGTCCCTAAGGGAGAAGTAGCACCAGAGTTTCGAGACCACCTACCTCTCCATCCTCAAACCTGCGGAGGAAGTGCCCCTCTGAGGCTTGCAGCGCTGACAGCAGAAGGAAGCAATGAAACAGAGGCCAGGGCACAGGAGGCGTCTCTATGGCCCACAGCTGTCAGACAGGGGCAGCCTCTGAGGACACCCAGCAACGGGATCAGGCTACTTATTCAAATCTTATTTGGACATCGGGAAGCATTTCCTGAGCATTAGGGGTATGCGACACGGAAAGCGGCTAGGATGTTGTGGCGTGCACGCTCAGGGAACGAGGGCCCTGCAAGAGCCCTAAGTCTCGACACAAAGGGAAAAAGAATCAAGTTCGCAAAGAAGTCAGGCGCCTAGACCTTGCCTGAGAATGCGGCGTCTCCCTGCAGGCCCACCAACCAGTAGGCGCTCAGCAGCTGAGCGCCGGCCAGGCGCGCGACCAGGAGCCCGCGCGGTGACCTGGCCAGCCCGGCCGGGCTCACCCCCAGCCTCCGCTGATCCGCAGAGGTAGGAAAGGACACCGGGAGCTCAGCGGGTCCCGCAGTGTCCGGCCCATCGGCTCGCGGATAGCAGCGCGGGAGGGCGGGGACTTGTGCGCCCGGGGGCGGAGAGTGAGTTCGGCCCACAAAAGGGGGAGATAACGAACCAGGCACGGCCCCCTCCCTCAAAACAAAGGCTTCCGCCCCAGGAGTTCCTGAACCTAAAAAACGGAAACAAAATCGAGGCTGCTCTGCCTCGCCGGCGCACCCAGTCTCCAGACTCCCGCCGTGTCCTGCACTCACCGGCCAAGGCAGCTTCAGCCGCCGATCTCCCCCAACCGTGTTCTCCCTCTCCGGACTGGGGTATCTCCAAAGACAGCTGATCATGCGCACTGCCGGCCCGCGCCCATGTTGGTGAGGGGCGGAAGTGTCTCTCTGGACCCGCCCAGCCTACTCAGCCTCTGAGTCGCCCCACTTCCGTTCGCTCCATCTTGATGAGGGCTTGGATGGGGGCGTGTTGTGGGTGTTGCTGGGGCGGGGAAGAAGCAATGCTCAGGGATCTCGGGAGAATGGCTCTGAAGTCGTAGTCGCTTTCGTGCTAGTCCAAGAACGGGAGAAGGACGACTAACTTGGTGCTACCATTTTTCTGCTGGACAGTGCCTTTTTAGTTCCAGGAGAAGGGAGTGAGAAAGGCCAGCTTAGATCAAGAGAGGGACATCGGATGGAGGCGCCATCTTTAACAAAGGACATCTTTTTTAAGTTTTCTATTGGAGATTAGGACATATCTGGGCACACATAGAATTTGTATTAGCGTTAGCGGTCACCCAAAGACCCCCAAGGCTTATGGTTTTTGTGAGGCTCAGAGTTTCTGTGAGAGGTATCTTGATTCCCATTCGTTTCAGTCAAGACCTACCCTTAATGGATTTGGAGTAGTGTGGTGTGATAAGAAGAGTTCACACTCTGGAGCCAGACAAACTCGGGTCTCAGATCTAACCTCTGCCACTTCTTAGTTCTGAGACTTTTGGCAACGTTTGACTTAACATTGGTTTCCTCATCTGTAAATGGAGATTACAAGTACCAACCTTATAGAATTATTAGGTGAACCAAATAAAATCAAGAGCGTAGATTCTGTGCACATAGAATACCTAGCCTTTACTGGCATATAATGAGCATTATGTAAATATAAGTTTCTCTTCCCCATTTCCTGACCACCATGAACCCAGCTCTAGTTTCTAGCTACAGGTCTTCACGACAACAACTGAGGAAGAGCGCCCAAACTATAAAAACAGAAAAACACAACGTTTGGCCAAACGTATCACTCAAGACTTTAATAAGAGTAATGAGACACCACAACTACTTATGTGTAAAAATACAACGTTTATTCTGGGACATTGCCCCTTGGGACGTGTGGCCCCAGCCTGTCGGGAGCAGTCCCAGGGCCTGAGTGACGCCATTCCCCTTCCCTAAAATAGGAAGTTATTCCAAAGGAGAAAGGAGAGGCCAGAGAGATCTATACAAGACCTCTCTTCCTTGAGATGCAGGGAGGCAGAGGGTGGGGGAGCTGGGAAGGGAGCCAGTCCCTCCAACAAATACTCCGCATTCAAAGTTTCCTGCACATTTTCCTCCTAATCTGGAGTTAAGAGGAGCAAGAGGTGTCCCAGGGCCCAAGAGTAGAACAAGGATGGGTAACTCTAAAAGTGTTTGTATGTAATAGGCTCTGATCTGGCCCTGACCCCTGGCTGTACTCTGGACTTCCATGAAGAGAAGTTCATTGCCTAAGAGGGCCGGAACTTGGCTGGAGTTCTGCCTTCATTCTTCACATTGAGAAATCGTTAAGTTTGCCGCCTACTCTTTGTTCCCTTTGGCCAGTGACCCCACTCTCTGGGAACAGGATCTCGGTGACTTTCTCTGGAATCTTGTAAGGGATAAGTGCTTTGTGTCTGAGACAACCTCAGGTAAACGGACCAAGACGTGCCTTCCACAGTCATAAAGAGAAGCTGGAGGGCCAAAACCTATAAAGTTGGGCACTAAAGCTGCTCAGGCTGCCGAAGAGACAGCAGAGAGACCCTGGAGACAGCTACTGTCCCCTGTGCCCAGTGGTCTGGTCCGAATCACAGCCCCTCACCTTTCCCAGAGTTAGCCTGTGTTTCAAATGCATACGATCGGCGCTGGGGCGACTCAACAGGGTCAGGGAGCTGGGGTTCTCTCGGGGGCAGACTAAACCGACTCCGGGGTCCAGACCCTTCTGTGCCTTCAGCTGGGAGCTCCAGGCAGCTAAGGGGCCGAGGACAATAGGCAGAGATCATGCTATAGGGGGAGGTTTTGGGGATGAGGCTGTAGTCCCCAGCCCCAGTACAGGTCTGGGTCCGCCGAACTGCCTGAGCTTCAGTCCTCTGGCGGTCCCGGGCCAGGGCCACAGCAGCATCAAAGGAAAGACTGCCCCCATTCCTCCAAGAGGAGCGGGAGGCTCGGGACCCCCAGGCCCGTTCCCCAGGAGTTCCATCAAGCCGGCCAGGCCTTGGGCATGGGTTTGCTGGTGCCACGTGGATCTTGCCACACATTGCACTGGGCATCTTGGCAAACTGTGGTTTGGGGGGCACCACAGGCACAGAGCGGACCTGTTGGACCTGAACCAGGGTGGAAGCCAGGCGCATGCTCACACCACCAGCTGAGCCAAGGGGACTGGGCTGCCCCTCTGGATCCATCTCCTCTGGCCGGGGTGGCTGTGGGGCTGCGTGTTCTGTCTCAGAGGGCTGGGCATTGCCCTCTTTGGCACTGTCAACCTCCAGGGACTCTACATGTGGCACTTCAGGGAGGGAGCCCTCTTCTACATGGTCACCTCCAGCCCTCTGGTCTCCCTCAGCTTCTCCATCTCCACACTCCCGTTCCTTGCTGACCTTCCCTGCTCCTCCTTCAGCTGCTGCTTCTGGGATTCTGCTATCTTCACCATCTCCTTGGTCTTCTCTTGCCTCTTGGTTCTCATCCCCCCTCTGCCCTTTGACCTCATCTTCTCTGCCTCCTTCAGCCTCTTGTTTGTGTACAACTTCCCAGCTCTCTTCAGCAATTTGGTTTTCCTGGGCCCCATCCTCTGGGTCCCTCCCGGCTTCTCCCTGGGCTTCATCTCCTTCCTCCTCTTCTTCTCGCTCGGTCTTTCTTTCCTTCCCCTGCTCCCCTCCTGTTTCCTCCACACCCTTAGCTTCCTCTGTACTCTCATCCTCCTGCTGACCTTTGGACTCCTCTCCCTTGGCCTCTGTCTCCTCTCTCCCTTCCCCACATCTTTCGCTCAAACTGTCAATCACCTTTTGGCTTCCCTCAGCCTCCACTCCTTCCTCACTGGCCTCTCCACCCTCCACTCCACTCTCTGGACTCCCCTCAGCCTCCTCCCTGATGTCCCGTCTACTTCCAGGCTCAGCCTCCTTGCCCTCCTCAACTTCCCAGAATACCTGTTCTCCCTCCGCCTGTCCTGGAGCCTCCTGTCTTCCAGACCCTGTTCCCTTTTCCTCTAGACTGCCTGAACCCTCCCAGGTCGGGAGTTTGGGCCCCAGAAGGGGACTTAGGTCATCATAGGCACTCAGGAAGACTTCCTCCCCACTTTCCTCCTCTGCTTCAGGCCCGGAGCCAGGAGAGTCCAGGGAACAGCAGCTGGGGGCCAGGACAAACTGAGCCTCATCCAGAGACAGGTCATCCAGGGGTGGCTCCACAGAGAACTCCTCCACCTGTAAGCACAGCATCGTGGCTCAGGACCAGGTGGCCCCGTCCACCCTCTGGATTCCTTAGCACCCCCAAACCCAGCACAGCGCCTCCTTACCTGAGGCCCAACTCCCAGGAGCTCCTCCAGGTAGCCCATCCCAGGGTCGTCCTCCCCAGGGGAGAAGGCTGCTCCTGCTGGTCCTGCCTTGGCCACCTCCCCATCCACCACCCCCACCCACTCGGGCTCTGAGCTGCTTGAGTCCTCTAGGAAGGAGAAGGAATCCTGCACCTCCTGGGACAGGCAGTCCTCCAGGGCAGGGGTCATGTCCGCTGGGCCTGAGTCAGCCAGGGGACCTGGGGCTGGACTTGCCTCCAACTTCTCATCTGTTGGGAGAAAGGTAGTCCCAGGAATACAAAGGTCAAGACCAGCCCTGACCCTTTCCAATGTGAGTCTTCCTAGCATTGCTACAGTATGGGCCCAACATTCCCAGCATAGATCCTCCATGTGGCCGATCCTCTCAGACCAATATCCCTAACCATTGGCTTAGAGCCACCTTTATTGAGCTCCTACCAGGTGCCAAGCACTGTGCTATACATTTTATAATGCATTATCTTATTTTCTCCATAAAACAACCCTATAATGTAGGGTATTTTTCCCCATTTTATATATGAGGAAAGTGAGACTCAGAGAGATTTGTCCATGGTCACACAAACAACGAGTGGCACAGCCAAAATTTGAATCCAAGACTACTTAACTCTGTAGCCCTTATCCTTATCCAGTACCTAGTGCTGCCTCAATACTTCTCATTATTGACACTTCAGGAACTGGAGTCAGAGCAAAGATCAAATCCCAGCTCTGCCACCTCCTACCAAATTGCTTAACCTAAGTCTCAGGTTACACTGCTGTAATATAAGGATAAAAACAATACCTGTGTCAACATTATGAGAAAATGAAATGAGCTAATGCCTTCAAAGTCCTTAACAAAGCACATCATAAACTCTCGACAAATGTTAGCTATTAGTATTAATATTATTATTATTACCATCATCTATGATATATTCCCACTTTGTACTTAGTAATCCCTGCTGTATATATATGACACAGATCCCCATTCTTGGATATATCAGTGATCTAAGGCTGCCAGAGATCCTCTCTGCAAGAATTTCACACAACCTGATAATATTACTGGATTCCCCCCATCTTGAATCCGGGGAGGCAGCTAAAGATAACCAGCCAAAGCCCAGAGCAGATCCCCAGCATCGGAGCCTCAGCCTAGAGTTCTAGTCCCCTCTCCCAGCCCTGGGAAATCCTTGAATCCTCACCTGGGGGACCAGGGCCAAGGCCAGGGCCAGAGCCAGGGCCAGAGGCAGGGCTTGGCCGGGGCTGTAGGGTGGGGTACTCAAGACCACGGGCAAGCCCGGCCAAGGAGACGTTAGAGATGATGTTCGGGGATATGTTGAGCATAGAACTGATGTGTGGTGGGAGGTTGACATCGTAGGGCTCTGAGATGTGGACGCCAGCACGGCGCTCTGCATGGCTGCTGCCCCCAGCACGGATTGCTGACCGCCCAGGTCGTGGTGTGCCGGGCTCAGAGCTCGTGCCAGCCAGTGCTTCTGCCTCGGGCTCCTGTTCACCCTCTGCTGCTTCCACAGAATCATTCTCCAAGCTCGCCAGCAACAGTGGGCATGGCCGAGGACTGCTGCGTCCCACCAGCCCCTCTGGCTCTGTGGAGGAGAGAGAGGTAGGCAACAGCCTCTGCAAGGGGCCTGGGCACCTCAGAAAGGCTCCAGAGAGTGCCCCCTGTTTTCTCTAGCCTGGAATACACCAGGCCCATCTTCCCGTAGCCGCTACTGCAAACCCTACAGTCAGCAGGTCAGACGTCACCCCACCAACACCTACTTAGGAACCCCCTTCCCTCCCTGGAGGTACAGTCACTAGCCATCACTACCCGCACCCCGCCCCGACACACACACAGGAGTGCACACCTATACTCACCATCACTGACCCCAGCCACAGCACTCAGTGAGTCCATGCTCTTGGCTGGCCGCAGAGTCACCTTATCAGATTTGTCCTCTGCAAGACAGGGATGTGCGTAGAGCCAGGGCCTGGCACACCCTCAGCAGAGCTCCCCCTACATCTCCCCAGACTTACCCCTGTCCTCAGCTCCCCGTGGAAGTTTACGCTTGGTCTCATGGCCAGAGCGACCCAGATTGAAGATAGATCTCCACTTCCTGACCTTCAAAGACCCCTTCCTCCTGGAGGGGATGGAGAAATCACTGCAGTTGGAGCCTGGTGGCCAGTGCAGGGGAGGAGGGCCCAGGAAGAAGGCCTTACTTGTGCTCTGCAATCTCTATGATAGTGTGATAAGGCCGCATCTGTGGGGGTCCATCACCAGACTGCAGGGTGCTAGGCAGGTGGTAGGGCAGGGATCGGGGCATAAGGTCCTCGGGGCTGCCTGACACCCGGACCCCTGGAAGTGATCGCCATCCACTTTCCACCTCACCACCTAGGAAAAGAAGAGGAATTGGCCAGCCAGGAACAGAGAGAGGGCTTTGGGTACGGAGCTCCTCACTGCACCCTCCCACTCACCAACTACCATGCTAGGGATACACCTGGAGGCAGACCCTCTGTGTCTAGCTCCTCAAGAGAGAGTCCTCAGGGACAAAGTGGGCCAGGAGATCCCGGGACATTGGCCCGGTGGGCCGGGGGTGGGAATGATCCTTCACTAGCCTCGAGAACCAGGATGGATGGTGATTAAGAGGCCAAGTTATGCCATGGACGGAGAGCAGAAGAGGCCTACTCAAGTCCTGACTGCACCATTCTCTCTGCAGGGTCTTCTCCACGTGACCATAAGCAACAATACTTTATGAGACTCAGTTCTGTCATCCACAAAGCAGGGAAACTGAACTAGATGATCTTGGAGGCTCTCTATAACTCTGACATGACTCCCAGACAGAGAATGGTGATTTGGTGAGTTGGAAGGGCACTGACCAGAGAGAGCAGCACCCTCAAAGAGCTGGTCCACATGTGTGAGGATGAACTCGACGACAATGGACTGCACCCGCACCTCCATGAAGGCTGCTGTCCCATTGAAGCCTGAGGCCTCTATGTCCTTAGACCTGTGGAGGTGTGGAGTTATTCTCCCCCAGCCCCACCACACTTCCCCATTCGAATTCTCCCTAAAAAGATCTTACACCCTTTCCCCTGAATGCCATTAACCCCATCTCCACCTCTTAATCTACATGCATGATTCAAGTCTCAAATGGCCACTTCCTCCAGGAAGCCTTCTTGGACACCATCCTCAGGATTAATCTCTACCTCCTCTGCAGGGTGCCTTGTGTATAACGAATCTCAGGACTTCTCATAGTCTGCCTTGCACCACAGGGAGTGACATGCAGCCCACTTCTCCAAGACATTTGCTCAACAAACGTTTGACAAGGATCCCCCCAACCCCTTCCTGCTCCAGTCCCTGAGCTAAGTGATGCAGTGTAAGAAAACACAAAGGTCTGGGAATTCCCTGGCAGTCCAGTGGTTAGGACTCCGTCCTTCCACTGCAGGGGGCACGGGTTCGATCTTTGGTCAGGGAACTAAGATCCTGCATGCCCCTCAGTGTGGACAAAAAAGAAAAAGAAAACACAAAGGCCCTGTCCTTAGGGACTTTACTCAAGCTCAGAGAAGGGGCTCACGTGGGTGAGCTCCATCACACTCAATGTGATCCTGAAACTTCCTGTTCTCACTGGGTGAGACCCCTCTCCAGTGCACCCGCACAGCCACACCCCCTCCTCGAGCAGCTTCCCAGGGGCTAGGCTCTGCCAGGATCCCCACACATGCACCCACCTCAGCAGGTTGGGGGCCCACACGATGGCCAGGTTGCGGGCGTGCATGTTGGTCTGGGCACTCAATGAGGCCATGTGCACCAGGTGCCGCATGAGGAACTCCAGGGTCCTGCAGAAAGGGGGCGTTGTGGGGTAGAGCTCACAAAGGGAGCGCTCAGGCAGAGGCAGGATTGAGGGGTGGTGCAAGAAGAGAAGTGAGCAGTCAAGGCCCCAGGTGGACAAAGAGCCTGGGCTGAGCGGGGTGAGTCGGGACTCTGGGTGGGGAGGAGGCCCACACACCTGTAGTTTGGGACAGGGAGTTCTCGAAGCACCTCTAGGATCTTGACCAAGCGCTCAGGTTCCAGTTGCACTGCCACAGCCTCCTGGTTGAAATCAAGGAGCAGGAGTCACTGACCCAGCGCTGCCCCTGCTTCCTCCCCAGAGTTCTGAGCCAAACTCTCAGAAACAGTCTGTGCTGTACCCCACTCCATCCCCCAGGTTGAATCTTCGAAGCACACTGACGTAGAATCTGGGTGCCCCAGGACCTGCAGATGAATCTTGGCTATGCCGCTTACTAGCTTTGTGACCTTGAGCAACTCACGGCCACTCTCTGCCTTAGCGTCCTCGTCAGTAGTGCTCTGGCTCTGGAACACATCAGGGTCCACCCTGTGGGCGCCCCAGGGGCCGCGGAGTTGATTTCAAGGTGTCCAGGAAGGCCCATGCCCACCCATTCTGGCCTGTATGGGCTGAATGGCATGCCCTGGTATTCAGGATCTCTAAATGATGTCATGCTCAATAAAATGCAACTTAATTTAGAAGTGTTACTCAATTCAAGAGAGCACTTTTGTCATGTATTTTCTTATTCAAAAGATGTTCAGCACACGATCACAGTTCATGGAAGGGCACGCTTGAAAAACAATTGACTTCCTAAAAGGGTTCTCATTCTCTTAAATGTAGGGAAGCTCCCGTCTAGGTGATTTCCAAGGGCTTTCCAGCTTCTGCTCTCTCTCTGACCTCTACTCTCCCCCAGTCTCACCCTGCACGGTGTGCAGTTTGCAGGGAAAGGAGAGACAAGGAAGAGCAGAGGGACAGGGGAGAGCAGAGGTAGCAGAGCTAGGAGATTTGTAAGGGACGGGGCTTTTCATTTTCATGTGGTCTCTGTCACGCAGGATCCCTAGGACTCGGTCTGCATTGGACACATCTGAGATGTCAAAACCACAGAGGTCACCCTCAGCCTTCTCTTCTCCCCCGACCCCGCTGTCACTCAACTCACAGCAAACTTGTCATAGAGCCGGTAAGTGAGCAGGGGGTCTGGCAGCTCTCTGAAATAGGCCTTGCACAGGGAGGAGACGCAGTGAATGTCCTGAAGGTAAACATCTCGCCGCAGGTCTGGCTTCCGCTCAGCCTCAAACTCCTGCCTGGGGAGGTGCAGAGTGGTCAGGAGTGGTGACAGTCTGAGGAAATGTAGGGACCCCCACCTACATTAAATCTATGATTTGAGGGACCCTCACCTAGGCAGAGCTGTAGAGATGAGCTCCAGGCAGGGTCGAGGGTCAACATGTATGAATCTTGGAAGGAAGAGGTTGGGGCGTGTATATACGTGAGGCAGCAAGTATAAGGCGTTGTATCTGTCAACGTGCAGAGTGGATGTTGAGATGGGTAAGTGGATAGGTAAATGGGTCTATGCATGAACAGGGGTACATATCAGGATGTAGAGTCAGTGTGAGTAGCAATGTAGGGGTATGTAGGAGTCGGTAGAAGTGGGAGGATGAGCCTAAATGTGTGTTTCTGGGTATGTGTAAAGATGGAGGAGTGTAACTTTCAGAAGGAAGCCTAAGTGTAAATCTTCAGGACCTTGGATTAGGCAACAGTTCCTTGGATATGACATCAAAAGCACATGCAACCAAAGAAAAAAATAGATAAATTTGACATCAAAATTACAAACTGTTGTGTACCAAAAGATGCTATCAAGGAAATGAAGACAACGCACAGAATGGGAGAACATATTTGCAAATCATAGATTTAATAAGTGTCTGATATCCAGAATACATAAAGAACTCTTACAACTCAAAAGACACAAATAACCTAATTATTAAATGAGCAAAGATTTGAATAGACATTTCTCCAAAGATACACAAATGGCTAATAAGCACACAGAAGGTGTTCGACATAATTAGGTATTAGGGAAATGCAAATATAGATGAAATATCACTTCACACACATTAGGGTGGTTATAATCAAAAAGACACACAGTAACAAGTGTTGGCTGGGATGTGGAGAAATTGGAACCCTCACACATTGCTGGTAGGAATGTAAAATGATGCAACTCCTATAGAAAACAGTTTGGACATAGAGTTACCATACGACTCAGAAGTTCCACTCTTAGGTATATACTCAAAAGAACTGAAACCATATGTCCACACAAATACTTGTATACAAATGTTTATAGCAGCATTAATCACAACAGCCGAAAGGTGGAAACAACCCAAGTAGCCATCAACCGATGAATGGGTAAACAAATGTGATAACGCCACACAATGGAATACTATTCAGCCATAGAAAGAAGTGAAGTACTGGTACATGCAACAGTATGCATGAACCCTGAAAACATGCTAAGTAAAAAAAGCCAGACACAGAAATGTACAATTTTATGATTCCACCTATGTGACATGTCCAGAATAGGCAACTCCATAGAGACAGAAAGTAGACTAGCGGTTGCCAGAGGCTGGGGGAGAAGGGCAATGTGGAATGACTGCTAATGGGTGTAGGGTTTCTTTTGGGGTTGATGAAATGCTCTGGAATTAGACAGCGCTGGTTGCACAACCTTGTAAATGTACTAAAAACCACTGGATTATACATTTTTTTTGAATTACACATTTTTAAATGGTGAATTTTATGGCATGTGAATTGTATCTAAATTTGTTTTTAAAGCTGGGTGGGTGCATGTGGGAGGGGAGGAGTGTGTGTGTGTGTGTGTGTGCACGTGTGTGTGTACATGCGTGTGTGCACACACATGCGCGCGTGCAGGCTAGCCTGTGGGGAGTGCGGGGCATGGTGTCAACCTTTCCCGAGGAGACTAGAGCTCCTCCCTTGGACAGTATCTATCATCTTTGTTTCCTTCTCCCCACATCCCCTCACCCCTGTGATTCCTGGCCTCCTGGCCACAGAGCTCTCCCCTCACTGCCTGACTCACCGGAGCTTCTGGATGTTGGAAGAGACCCCTGAGAGGCGGTAGATCCCATCCACCACTCCATACTCCTCCACAAACTCTGCACAGCTCCTTAGCACCTGGGGCACTGGGAACACAGATGGGGCAGAGAAAGAGAAATCAGAAGGTCTGGGAGGTCAGAGACTACAGGGGGTCTGAGAAATGGATGCATCAGGGAAGGGGGCTTGGGGAGACTGAAGGCAAAGCTCGTGGAATAAAAACTTGTCAGGGGGCTTCCCTGGTGGCGCAGTGGTTGAGAGTCCGCCTGCCGATGCAGGGGACACAGGTTCGTGCCCCTGTCCGGGAAGATCCCACGTGCCGCGGAGCGGCTGGGCCTGTGAGCCATGGCCGCTGAGACTGCGCGTCCGGAGCCTGTGCTCCGCAACGGGAGAGGCCACAACAGTGAGAGGCCCGCATACCGCAAAAAACAAAACAAAAAAAAAAACCAAACTTGTCAGAAAGATTACTGCAGGACATCAGCTCCAGCCTGCCAACCCATTACAATCTCTCTGCCCATTGGGCCTAGAGTCTCGGCATAAACTCCCCCAGTAAGGGGGAGCTCACTGCCTCTCCAGACTGCCCATTCCTGTTAGAAAGTTCTGCCTTTGTTGACCTGAAATTCTCTCTCTCTGTAATTACTAGTTGCTATTACAGAAATTTTAAAGGGACAGCAATGTGATTGGAAGAGGACTCAGGGTGAAGGACTGGTCTTGAAAGTGCGTTTACATAACACTCTACATAAGATAAAGGAACATTAGCTCTTGCAACCAAAATGGAACAGAGCTGATGGGCATTATTGTGAAACACCTCCTCTGGTTAGTGAATGCATGGATCTTAGATCTGCCATAGGAAGGTACATGAAGTTGCGACAGACCTTCAGACAGGTCAATTCAGGAGAGAAGCACCTATATGCCAAGCACTATGCATTAGACATGAAAACCGAGGATCATAGAAGTAATGAGTGTGCAGTATCATCCAGCTAGAGCCAGGATTCCAATCCAAGAGTGCAAAAAGCTGTATTCTCTCTCCCTTCTTCGGAGCCCTCCCCAGTTACTAGACCGTAAGCTCCTTAAGGACAAGATCTAAGTGTGACCCATCCTACTGTTCCTCACCTTATCTGTCATGGTGTCTCAGTCATGGGAAACCCTCAGAAACCATGTGTTGAATCTCATCTCCACAAGGCCACATAGTTACCTCTCTAAAGCACTTCAATGCTTTACTTTTTTTTTTTTTAAGCACTTCCATGCTTTAAATCCTTTGCTACATACACACTCTGCTCCACCCCAATCTTCAATGCTTAGCTTACAAACACAGAATAAAATAGAAACTCCTCAACATGGTATACTGTATAAGACCTTTCACAAACCAGGTCCAGCTGCCATTCCAGCCTTAGCTCCGGCCAGCTCCCCCAATAAATCCTATGATCCAGCACTTTCCTACCCCCTGAACAAGCCTTGGTACTATCACTCATGTTTTCCCTTGCCTGGAAATGCCCTCCTCTCTGTGTCTGCCTGGTGAGCCCCTATGCATTCCTCAAAACACACTTCAGACATCACTTCCAATTCTGAACCCTTTGCTTACATCCGTATTATACTTCCCTAGGTCCTTTGTTTATATCTGTCCATAGCACTTATTGTACTTTGTTATGATTGGTATATTTTGTATCTATACCTTCTGACAAGTAGTAACATCCTCCCCAGCGTCTAGCACAGTGTTGAAACAGAGCAGGTGCTCAACAGATGTTTATTAAATTACTCAATGAATTAGTCAATGAATTGGAGCTTTAATAGAGAATATTACCTAAGACAAAACATTGAGTCCAATTAACTGAGACTCACCAGCGAAATTCCTGTCATGTGTTAGTGTCAGAAAAAGCTGTGCTTCTCCTAAGCCACCTATTTTTTTCTTATGGGCTTTATGAATTTCATACCTGATTACTTTTACCTCTTTAACTACCAGGAAGCTCAGAGCCCATATCTTGGAACCATATAGAACCACCTGAAATGCATTTCTAGGTACTGATTTTACCCCTCCTGTTTTCCCTTCAACTCAGTTCCTTCAGTCATTTATTCTTTTTGTAAAGTTTTGGGTTTTGGAAGTCATCCATCTCAAGCTCTTTGTGGAACTAAGTAAGTTAGAAATACAGACTGAAGAAAATCAACAAATCCATCAAACACTATTTTAAACCCTCTTTATGTGACCCGGAGTCCACACCATTTACCCTCCTGCACCCCAGAGCCAGGACTTGGGTGAGACAAGGAGAGCATCAAGGCTGCAAAATTTAAGCACTCACTCTTAGGGTTGTGCACATGTCAACTGTGCACATGCACGACCTTGAGAGTGAATGCCTCCTTAAGAAAGAAGCACCTAGGGCTTCACTTGCCTGTTCCTGAGAGTAAGAGTTTCCTTACATTTTGCACCCTAGTCACCTCTCTTGCCTCAGCTTAGTCCAGGCTCTACAGTTCACCATCCACCCCTTCAGGACCTCTGCCCATTTGCCAGGGTCCCCTGACCTCAGGTTCCCAGCACTGAATGCAGAGATGAGGCAGACCCTCCTGGTTCAAGCTGTTGCTCTACTCTTGGGCGAATAATGCTACCCCAACTCTTTCGGCCATCACTCTGACTCATAAATAGTTGGCTGTCACCTGAACCCCAGGTTGTTTTCACAGTAACTGCAATCAGTCCAGGTCTTCTCCATCCCATCCTTCTCTGTTGATTTTGAGTCTCCACGGGAGGCCTTTGAAGAAGGCATACCTTTAAAGAAGGCATTTGAGAGCCTAAGGAGTCAGAGCAATAGAGGAAATGGGTCAAGGAGATGGGGGAAGAGATAATAGGATCAGAGGGATGGAGGAGTCAAGGAGACAGAGATAAGAGAAATGGGGTCAGAGATAAAAGTTAGAGACATAGTTGGGGTGGTAGAGTCAAAGGGTGGGTCAGGGAGGAGGGCCTGAAGCTTAGGAAACTGGAGAATCAGAAACCTGAACAAGATCTCAAAGAGATAAATACTAGGAAAAGGAAGAACTCAATTGATATAAGGGCTCGGGAAGGAAGAGACCCACCTAGGGCAAAGAGCTGAGAGAGGGTGCTGAGATGGAGCGAAGCTGCAAGGATGGGGGAAACCAAGATAATCAGGGAGGATAAGTTAACCACAAACACAGCTCTCCTGGCCTGGGCTTTCATTTTTGCTGGATCTTGGCTTAAAAAGAGAAGCCATCACTGGCCTCTCTCTGTCCTTCCACTTTCCACCTGTCTATACTAGGAGGAGCTGGGAGAAGGGGAGAAGGCTTCCACTGCTGCTCTGGTGCCCAAGATACTCCTCCCCCCTTGGACTCAGGTGAGGTTCTTGTGAAGGGCAGGAGGGGCTTCTCTCTCTCTCTCTGGGATTCACTAGGATCAGGACCCAGCAACCAGATGCCTATCCCTTCCAGAGAACATGCCCCTCACCTTCTGGGAATGCCAACAGAGGCCAGGAAGGGATACAGGAGTGGGATCTGGGCTGGCTGTGAGTTCAGTGTTTCAACAGGAGGTTGGCAGGGGGTCCACAGGGAAGGACAGCGCCAGGATGAGGATGCTGAACTGAGGGTTTGCAGAGAACTGGAAGAACGTCAGCCCCAATTAAATCACGTGGCCCTCACCCAAGAGCCATCATTCTCAAGAGGCATCCCTTGTAAAGGAGTCAACCCCACACTGGCGGCTGGGCTGTGCCCTGTTAGAAAAGAAAGAAAGGCACAGAGAAGCCACTTCGGCTGTTTAACACCCTTCCTTGGGGCCTGGGCTTTCCCTTAACTGAGGCCAGTGGGATGGGGGCCTCTGGGGGAGGAGAAAAGGGGAAGGAGGTGTCTGGGGACACAGGGGCGGGGCTAAGAGCAGGAAATGAGCTGGGAACCACCATCACCCTCCCTCTACTGCAGGCACACAGAGCAGCAGCCCAGAGCAGAGAACAAAGAGGAAATGACAGATTGGGGTGGAGGGGGGGGGAGAAATCATGCCCTTCTTTGGGAGGAGGTCGAAGTACCAAAAAACAAGCTGGGCTGGGCAGTCAGGATACCTGCGTTCAATTCCAAATCAAATCAAGAAATGTTTCTGAGTGTCTACTCCACACCAAGCACAGTTGGGAGCCAATGTTGTCCCTGGTCCTGCTCGTTTCCAAGCGCCCTCCAAGGTAACTCAGGGAGGATGCTTTCCACAGACAGTCCTCACCCCCATCCTCCTTTGTACCCTCTACCCCCATCTTCACACCAGGCCTCAGACCATCTCTCTTACTGTTCTGGTGTTCCCATTTTAGCAGCTTCTCCCCTCACCTTCCACTTTGAACCTGTTTCTCCTTTGCACAGGGAAAACCGGAGAATCAGAGAGACTGGGGGAGGAGACTGTCCCCACCCTGCATCTTCACCTGTGGCCCAGCAAGGCTGCAGAGGGATCAGAGCCCCATAACCTCGTCTCCTCCAACCAGGAAACACCCATCCTCCCCATGTGCCATCCTCAGGCTCTCCAGGGGCCCTTCTCCTGTCTTTTTTCATTCAGACCTAAGGACCATCCATGCCCCTTCAGCCACTCATCTCCTGACCCTGTCCCTTCAGCCTTCCTCTCCTGTCCCCCAGCTGTCATCTCCTCACCTCTGTTTCTTCTACCTCTGCTGGGTGTCCAGTCTCTCCCTCCTCTCCTCTCAGGGCTCCCTCGGTGCCCCCATTCTCATCACCGGTCTCTTCACCCCCAGGCAGTCACTGAGCCACATTTCCTGCCCTGCCTGCTCATCAGTTGCCCGGGGGTGACCCCGAGCCACTGCCCGTCCTCCATGAGCTCCTGGAGGCTGCTTCTGTACCCTCAGCCTAGATCAGGCTGGAGAAGCTCCACGCCTCCCCCTCCGCCCAGCAGCAGCTCCGGGCTGGCCTCCTTACCCTCCTGGCCCGAGTGCTGAAGGTGGTCCTGCAGGTCGCACCCAAACACCCGCTCCTTCGAGCTGCCCTTCTTCTTCCCTTTCTGCCGAGACTTCATGGCCGGAGCCCCAGGGCTCTGGCCCAGCCACCTCTGTCCCCTAAGACCTTTGCCCTACTAGTCCCCCATGGGATCCCAAGCCAGCCTCTGGGCTTGGCCTGGCCCCAGGGGGGCAGGGCTCAGAACTGGGGGTGGAGGGTGGCCTGGGCAACGGGCAGCAGCTCCTGCCTCTGGGGCCCCGGCCACACGGAAGTGGCTGTGGAAGAGGAAGCTGCCAGGACCCCGGCAAGAAGTTGTGTCTCGTGGCGGGGCCTGGCACTCGCCCTTCTCGCCCTGCTCAGCCCTGGGGGCCAGGAAGCTGTGCAGCTCCTTAAACCCGCTTCCTGTTAGAGCATCTTTGCAACCACAGAGCTGGGGTGGGGGAGGTAGCTGACATTCACATCCTCACCCATTGCTGGGCCTCCACTCATTGGTCAACAGGAGGTGATGTCAGAGCCCTGGGGTGGGTGGTAGCGCCTGGGGCGTGAGCAGGTGACTGGCACCCTCGGAGACCAGAATTCTGGGGTCTGAGGTGGAGACCCGAGACTTGCCTAGGAGCAGAGCAACACAGGGCTGTGCAAGGCATACCCAGGAGGGAGGACGGCCAGGCTTTGGCCCTGACCGGCCTGTAGTCTCAGTCAAGTCACATTACTTTGCTGAGCCTCGGTTTCAACACGTATAAAAAAATGGAGAGTGGACTAGATGATCTTTAAATCTTTCCAACTCTAACATTCTGTGGAACTCATTTGAATTTTGGGTTCTTTGACTGTAAAAAGTTACACTGTTGTCTACTTTCCAGGCCTGTTGTAGTGAGACTCCAATACAATACAGGATATAAAATACTGACAACTAAGGCACTGCCTATCTTGGAAGGGCTTATAGTTCCACTGCCAACCTCGACTCTCAGAGATGGCTGAAGGTCTTGTGGAGGCCGTTTCTTTTCCCCCGTCCCCCCTAGTTCCAGGCAAACTAACTCCTCCCCTACTTGGGACCACAAGGAGGATGGTGCTGAGACAGAGAGCACTGAGGTTCAGGACTTACACAGTCCAGGGAGCAAGACAGGAACCGGAAAGAACAGGTTTTATCTGTTTATTTAAAAACAGAATATCTTTTCTATGTACAAATATGAACATATTTACACAAAATATACATACTAGAGTTCCATATCTTCAGGTTCCGCATCCAAAGTCCTGGGCTGGCTGGAGAGCAGGGGATGAGAGTCTCTCCTTTGGTCCAGAAATCCAGCAGAGTTCAGGCTGAGCAGGGTTTGGGCACTAAATCTAGATATTCTGGTTGAATGTATTTGGGTGGGGCAGGCAAAAATGGACCTTATCTAATCCCAACCAGAGAAACAGCTGGAAGTTAGTGACCCAAGTTAGTAACCCTGAGACCCCTGGGGAAAAGGAGACATTCTTGCTCCCAGCAGCTCCTTCACCTCCCTTGGTCTATAATCACTATTCTCTCTCCCCTACACCACAACCAAACCAGGAGCCCTTGTCACCAAGTCCTAGCAGCCCCCCACCAAGGGATCACAAACAACTGTGGATACAACTAAGAAAACATGAGGCTAGGGGAAGAGCTAAGGAGCCCCTAGGGTCAAGGACTCTACCTACCCTCCCATAGCCAGTAACTGAGGGGCGCACACCCCTCCTTCAAACTCTATCAGCTCTTAGGCTCCCTCCCAAGAGCCTGCCTTGGGATTAAGATGCCTTAGATGGAGCACCTTTCAGAACCACAGGAATTAACCCCCTGGGGTAGGACCTGAGCAAGGTCTAGCTTTGCTGAATTCTTGTGTAGGCTGATGTCACTTTAAGCAGTCCTTGCAATAATAAATGTCCAGATGAATCAAAAGTTTATAAAAAGTCTTTTCTCTTATTAATGCATTTGGGGCAGTAGTCCTTAAAGAAGCTCCACTGTGCAGGTTTATGTACAACAAATATGTACATGCAGCAGGCCCAGAGGCCACCAGAGGGCAGAGGGTTTCTTCTGTAACAGTTTGAGCCTCTGGCCGACCCCTAGGCCCGCTGCTTTACACTTGCCCTGACAGCTCCCAAGTGGTGGGAGCCCGGCTCCCGCACTCAGGAGGCCAGATTCCAGCTCCAACTATGCCCGCACACCTGGACCTGGCCCACAGTCTCCACCTCCTGCCTCCAACCTCTGCATCATTAATACTGCTCTGGGGTCTGAGGAAAACACCTGCGTTTTACAGGCAAAGGTCACACAGCCACACGACACATGCACCGATCCCCTGTGGCGTTCCCCATGCAGCCACTGAACCCTGTGGCACACACACCACGGTTCACTTGGACTCTGACGTGACAACACAACGCACACTGTGGGCACGGTCACCCCTCCACGCACACACAGTGCACACTCAGACAAGCACTAATGCACACACAGTGACCCGCACACACTGTGGGAGGGACTCAACAAGCAGAGCCCTTCTGTCATCCAACAGAAGGACCGGAGGAAAAGGTCGAGCAGTCAGTGGGGTGGGGAGCATCTTCCTCAAGAAATGAGGTGTGTAGGGAGGCTCCCCGGGGATGAGCTGAAATCTTCCATGTCAGCAGAGGGAGCCAGGCTTAGGGGACGGAGGCAAGCCTGGGTCAGACCAGGTGCCCCCGCCCATTGATGTAGATGCCATTGCCCGTGGGCTTGGCCCGCAGGGTCCCATTCTCCTGAACAAAATGGTTCATGGCCTGTTTGATGCCTTCATCCTGATCTTCCTCCTCCTCTGTCCGCCCAGAGCCTGGAGACAGCAGTTCAGTCTGTGTTTCAATCTCCCTCACTGTGGTCAGCGTGGAGTAACTGCGGCCCTCTGCCTCTTCGCTCTGGAGACCGAGGGCGGAGGGCAAGTCAGGAACCAAGGCGGAGCAGCCAGACGTGAGGGGGTCGGCTGGGGCACGCTGGGGTCAGAGGTCAGGCACAAGCAGGGTTTATGGTTGCTCAATGGCTCAGAGATGGGGGGCCAGGAATGAATGTTAGGCCTGGAGAAGGGGAGACTAGAGAGCAAAGGCACAGCGGGGCGGGGAGGGGATGGGATGGGGCAGCGTGAGTCTGAGGTATCAGGGACCGGTGAAGGGGCAGGTGACGCACCACATCTGGGACCCGGAGAGGGGACTGAGGAGAGTGGTAGGGATGCCGGTGGGGCGGGGGGCCTCACCATCACAGAGCAGCTACTGTTGTCCTTGAGACCATCAGGGTGGCCCTCGGCTCTCAGCCCTACACTCTCCTCCGGCTGCAAGGCCCGCACATGGGGGAGGAGTCAGAACAGGGCTCAGCCTCTTCACCTCTGTCCTCCCCCAGCCTCTTCACCTCTGTCCTCCCCCAGCCTCCCCCCAATCACCTCCCCCCCAACCTGACCTGTCCATTCTCTCCTCGATGCAAACATCCTCACTTCCCCCACCCCTACCCTCATCCCACCCTAATCCCACCCTGAAACCAGTGCTGATGGTGGCTTCCCACAGCAACCTCGAAGGGGGTTGCTGAAGGGGGCCTCCTGAAGGAGCCCAGCAAACCCAGAGCAGCTCCAGACCTGCCGGGGCTGAGTCAGCGGCCAGACCTGGGGGCGGGCTGCGCTTCTGGTCCGCAGAGGGGCCCCGGCCCCAAGAATGCATCCAACCTTGGCACACACCTGGTTCCTGGGGTCCGAGTGATGGGAATGCAGCCTCCGGATAGAGTTCTCCCTGGTCAGGGTCAGCTCCTCCTCACTGGGAAGACACCCCCTGGTCAGGAGCTGAGGGTAGTGGTAGCCTCCCAAGGTGAACCTAGCCTGGCCAAGCCTATGTGAGCCGGGGCTGGAGGGTGTGGGCGCTGGGTTGTCCCTGCAAGTGCGAGTGAGTGGCTGTAGGTGGCGGTGCGGCTGCAGAGGGTGTGTGTGCCCCTGTGATACACATGCATGTGGATCTGACCCTCACTCAGGCAGTGTGGCTCCCCTCATCCAGCTGCGACCCAGGCCCCAAGGCCCTTCTCACCTCCCAGAAGACTGGCTCTGCCTACCTCTGGTCCACAAGCTCCTCAGATGTCAGGCCGCCCAGTCTCCTCTCGCTCCTCGGTCCTGGCCCACCTCCTGCTTGCCTCCCCTTTGTTCCCTGCTTACCTCCCCTTTGTTCCCTGCTTACCACCTCTACCCGCCCAGGAGTGGCCACTACTCACTATTTCTGGGTCATCTGCTGGGCCTTGCGTCGATGGTATCGGGACATGAGCACCACCACCACCACCAGAAGGCAGAACAAGAGTGCGGCGATCACACCCACCACCACCACGGAGGCCGACACCAGATCCACCTGCTTCCCCGTGGTATCCTGGGGGTCTGCTGGAGACAGGCCACTGTCTGAGGCCGATGCCCAGATCCCTGGCCGGCCCCCGGACTCCACAGCCCCCCACGCACTGTCCTCACAAAACACGTCCCAGGACCACCCCCTCAGCCTGGCCCTCTGCAAAATACATGCAGTCCAGCCCCCTCCAAATAAATACTCTCCCAATTCACTCTCTCTGTCTTGCTCCCTGTCACCCGACCAGGCCCTTGGCCCAGGTCCCAGCCTCTGCCCCAGTGCTTACCAAGTACATCCACATCCACCTGAGAATCCCTTGAGGAGAGCTCATTGCTGACGTGGCAGACATAGGTGCCACTGTGCTCAGTGGTCAGCGGGGGGAAGGCCAGGGTATCTCCTTCTGCTTGTACCCCACTGGGCAGAGGCCCGTCCAGCCTGGAGGACAGGGAAGCTGATGGGCGCTGGCTGGGGAGGGCTGAGACTGCCATGACCCAACGTGCCCGGGCAGCTCTCCACCTCCCTCCCCCATGACGTCACCCAGAGCCACCGGCTGTTCCCACGGTGCCCCTCCTTCCCCTAGGCAGGTCTAGGCAGAGGTCCCTTCTCCCTGCCGCCCAGCCTGACCCAGGCACCCACACACACACTTGGGGAAGATCCACACGCGTGCCGTCCCACAAGCTCCATAGGCATCACGTCATCCCACACTAGGTACCAGGTCCACACGGTATATAAAGTCCACACAACAGGACTGTCCCTTCCTATCGGGGCTCAGATGTACTTGGACAATGTGACTGCATGCCCCAGCACCCACGATGTTTCATGGCAGGATACATGAACACAGCCCCAGGCACAAGGCCACATGCATGGCTCATCTTCTCACATGTGAGCCTGTCATGGGCTCACACACATGTGTCCCTGACCCCTCCCTGATTGTCTGGACATCTCAGACCCTGAAAAAAAGTCAAAGAACTGGCAGAGATGGGTGGGTGCTTCTGA